ATTTTAAAATCATGTATATCTTTTATAATAAAATGTTAAACTATTGATCATTAATTTTTAACATAATAATTTTAATAGTTTAGTTATTTGTTCTCGTTTCTTAAAATTCAAAATATAACCTACACGAAAAAATCTAAAATTTAATTTTATAGCTAATTTGATTGTTTAATTTATTTTAATAATATAAAATTAAAGAAAAATGATGGAGGATATATAAACTGTTATCAAATATTTATTATTAGAATCATTAAGTGTCATATATATATATTAGTCATTTATGGTAATCCCGTAGGTTTTATTTATGGAAATAAAATAAAATAGTAATTATATCTTAGGAAACAATAACTAAGTGTCATATATATATATTAGTCATGTATGGTAATTCCATAGGTTTTATTTATGGAAAGAAAATAGCATATCATATCATTATATCATATAGTTTGACTAACTAATGTAATCCAATGTAGACTTACTTATTTTTCAATTGAATCTAATTGACTACCTAATTGAATGACACCTATGCATTGGGGCCTCTTTTAATTAATACAAAATTGAGGTTACATCTTTTCAAATGTTCCTCAATTAATATATAGGGGATTGAACTCATCGTCAGTAACAAAACACTTAAGTCTTCCATTCATTGTACTAAAAATTGTGATTTTCTTTGAAAGTCGGGAAGAGTTTTGCATAAGCTTTGAATCGTTTGAAAGTAAAAAAAAAAAAAGGTTACCTATAATCCATTCTTGCGAAACCTATATTTATACATATCAACAACCAAACTAGCTAGATAGATCATTAGACATGTAATAAAATTAAACGATCAAACATTCAAACCCCTCATATAATAGAATAATGATGTGGAAATAGATTAAGCTACTGAATGATATATAACCAAACATAATATTAAAAGCTGTAAACAATTCACTCGAACGAAGCATCAAGGTGAAGTCTAGTTTTAACTTTAACTTTAATGAAGAGAGGTTAGAGGAAAACCTTTAAAGGCCTTGTGGAGCTGCTCGGAGTCTTCTTCGGGAAGAGGACCATTTGCAGGAATTTTGAGAGATGCCATGCTGCGACCACTGAATAGTCTTTCTAGCTTTTTTGTTTTCACTGTCTAAATGAGAGGAGTAAACTGTTGGACGAGGAACATGCACATCTTCTTAAATAATGAAATGAAATTCCTTTTTTCTAAACAATTATTAGCAATTTAAGTAAATAAGTAAAACGGAAACCTTTTTATTATTACTACAGGCTGTGTAATACATGTGACAAAAAAAGTCAAAAATAGAATGGGCAAGAAAGGTATTATATCTTTGCTTTTTTGTCATTAGGTGGACTAATAGCAGTTTAAAATGGGATTAAAATATTTATAGACCTTTTATTCTTATAAACAAAAACTATTTAATATCCATATTGGTGACTGAACATGCATTTGGAATAATTACGGAAGAATAATCTGAGCTGTGAATCTTTTTCATATTTTGTTGACCAAACAAAATCATATGCTATATTTTTTTTGGTTTATAACTGATTCAATTCTGAGAGAGATGAAAGAGTGACAACTCTTTGTGAGTACAAAGGTTGTTTCATGATAAGATTAACTGTTGAAATCAAACAAAAGAAGCTGAAAAACACTCATAAATCAATCAACATTACCAGGTTGCATCTTGCATGCAAGACCAATCACAACTGTTTTATTGAACACAATAATAATAAGATTTTGCTCGCAAATATTGTTTTAGCTTCAAGCATGGCCATGTCCGATAAGAGCTAGAAGAATATCCTCATAGTCACCATGAGTGTCTTTGGCAATGGCTCGGTCAAGTGGGACACTGTTCCTGCGTAAATATTCCTCTTTGATCCGTTCCATGTCAAACTCAGCTCGTGTGGTGACCACTCTAGTAAGTCCCCACTCGTCAGTTCCCAATTTATTGATGGCTTGACGCAGAACTTTCTCAAAGTACTTCTCTGGATAAGTCAAGCATTTGATCACAGATTTAAGTAGTTGAACATATTCGTTGTCCGAATCCTCTTTTAGGTATTTTGTAATGGAAGTTCCGAACTTGTTTTTGAAGTGATTGAGTGTTGCACTGATTTGAGCTTTGCTTCTTGTTGTCAAGATTCTGATGAGATCTCCATCATTGTAATCCTTCGCCTCCATCTTCTCGTGAAGTATCTTAGCCTCAGACTTAGCAATCATCATGTTTACTTCATCTCCATCATACCTAAAGGTGCTCACAAGAGGAACCAAGAGCTGCATAAACAACGGCATATGTTAGAAACTTTTATACATATGAACTAACTTTGCTAGGAGTTCATCTAAGACTCTTTGTCTAGTAAACAAATTATATGTAATGATTCCATATATTTGTTTTGTATTGATTTTGAGATGCAGGCTCATAAATTTTTAAATATGTATATATAATACCTTTCGGACATCTCCAGATGTGTGGTAGGCGACATCTTCCTCAATAGATGTCTTGTAGCGAATTTGGTAGGCTTGCTTGGCCCTGAAAAACTGAAGGGCAGATCTAGTACAAGCGATTTCAACCAGAACCCAATTGTCTTTAGTAAACATTTTTGTCGATTCCTTAGCTAAATAGGCATCTCTCTCCGCTGGTTCAAGTGTCCACAACATCACAGCTCGCTGTTTTGATTTTAAACAAAACATGCGGAGTTTACTAAGTTATCGTACTATACCAAAAGAAAACATTATATACATAATTTGGATCCTTAACGAACCTCGAAATCACCAGATAGCTCTTTGTCTAATTCCTTGAGAAGATCCTTATTGTACTTAGCGGCATAAACTGCACGGATGAAGCTGCGTTGCTCGGCATTTCTGTGAGCCAAGATTGATATGATCATCTTCTCGTTGGTTCCCCATCCTTCATTGGACAACCATAACATAACTGTTAATTCATGTTACCAAATTTTCGAAGAATAGAAGAATTACGTTATAATTACAATATTATTTGAGACTTGCAAAGTGAGAACACATTGCCACTGGGAGAAAATAGATCATCCGGTTGGAAAATCTTAGGAGAGTTATATGATTTTCAAAATTATCAAACTGTAATTATCAAATAATAGATATGATCGTTGGTTAGAAAATCTCTAGTACATATTTGAAGGCAATGCTTACGTTCGAAGATTATAGTGATTTTCAAACCAATATATATCTCTTAATCAAGAGAAGTTTAACATAATGAAACTCAGATTTAGATCGTATGAAATACCACAGAAAGGACCTATAGGCTATAGATCAATAAAACAGGCCAGTAGACCATAGATGTATACAAAAGAGAGGAACTGCTCAGATAAGAAAACTTAGTGAAGATCAACCATATTATTAATCACAAACAAAAAGGAACTCAATCGTTTCACACGAAATCTTAGTTATGAGATGAAAAGAGAGAGAGGAGTAAACCCTTAAAGGCCTTTTGGAGCTGCTCTGCGTCTTCTTCTGGAAGAGGAACACTGGCGGGAACTTTCAGAGACGCCATTTTTATGGACAAGTGAAATCTCTATCTCTCTATGTTTTTGTTATCCGTTGTCTGAATGATGTGGTAGATCCGTAGAGGCACAATGTCTTACTTAAATACTGAAATGGAACTTAAAATTCAATTAAAGCAAATCTACTTATATTTATGAATTTTAAATTCCTTTGAAAAAATTTGGCAATAAAAGTAAATCAATAAAAAGAAAGAAAAAATCAATACAGTTGGCAGAAAAGGAAGTTAATCAATTGAAAATATTATTAAATAGTAATTAAGTTGAAGACAATACTATATTTTAGTAAAATGACTTGGCACTTAAAGTACATTAATAAAAAGGAGAAAAAGACAAAGACAATAGGCAGGCATAAGAAGATTTTAATTAATTGAAAATGGGATTGAATAGTAACTGAGTTGAATAAAAATACATTTGAAGTGAAGCATTAAGCATAGAATGGGTCAGAAACTTATGATTTAGATTTTTTTTTTTATTATTTAGATTTGCCATTGACACGTTTTGCTTTGACAAGTAAAGAGCATCTCATTCAACGAAAAATATGTTTTAACTATTAAAAAGTTACAAACTTTTGAAAACAAAACACTTATGATTCAAGATTGTGAAATACACGTTTACTTGCTTTTGACATATATAAAGTATATTTATTTTGACATATCAAGAGAATATAAATCCAGGAATCATTCTGGTGAGCTATATAAAATACGTAATTTGATATATAGCACTATGTTAAGTATAATTTGTGATGTGCTTTTTTGGCTAAAATTTGATGCAAAACACTGAAACAGATTGGAAAAAGTTGTCACTGATATGTCGTTTCTATTGGATTTGTATAAATTTAATTACCACTAATATTTATTTCGAAACTGTAAACTTTAAAAACTGACTTCATCATAGTTATATTTCTTCAGAATTAAGAAATCGACACTATTAAAGTTATTTATAGGATGTAAAATACTTATTGTAGGTAAAAACAAGGTTTTCAAGGCTTATCGTGTCATTAGTTTCTTGTTTAACTCCAAGACAATAGCAGCAGGGGTAACGTGGTTGGTGCTACGCTAAACGTGAATGTAGCAGTTGGTTTGTTTGGCAACCAAATACTGAAAATGTAGATAGATAAACATATAACGTAACGTCCTATATTCGTGATAATCTTGTTTCTTCCGTCCATACCTTTTGGAGGGTACTGAAAAGAGTTATTTTCATTGTAGGGCAGTTTCAAGTTTTTTATTACATTCTAGAGCAGTTGTTGCTCCTAAGGCACTTTATTAAAACTACAAGCTAACTATCCTAACTAATTTCTAACCACGTGCATTCTTGAAATTAAATGATTTTTCAATTTTTAATTTTATTTTTCTTCTCCTTGTATGTAACATAAAAACATTTTTCTCTCTCTTTCTGTTATAATTATTTTAAAAATTAAAAAGATGAAGATGAAGAAATTGAGTGGTCGTCACTGTAAATGTTGATATATATGGTTTTAAACTTTTCTTTCTCTGCTATAATGGTTTTAATTATTAAAGAAGATGAAGATGCAGAAGTTGGACAACGTCACTTGATAGAAATTTAGATCTGTGTAAAAGCTTCTTATCTTCCACCTACTTCACTGAATCTCAGATGTGTCGTAGTCTTTTTGTCATCTCCTCCAACACGTTGATTCATCCATCTCTTTCACCGTCACGACTCTGTAGAAGCTTGAGAACATCAATGACCAATTTAAGTTTTTTGCACTTTTGGTCCTTAATATTTTGTATAATTATTTTTTAAACCCAAAACTTATTAGTTGTGCATTTTTTATCCTTAATGTTTTTTCTTGTACACTATATGGTTGTACACATTTTGAAACTAACAAAATTATCCAATTAGATAATGTGATATTATGGTAATGAATCAGATCTCATCTATATATGATTTGAGTAATATATGACATGATTCAACCTAATTTGAACACATGTACACTAATTAACATGTGAACCAAAATCATGTAGATACCTATAAATGTATATATGGACACTATCAGGCAATTTGAACACATGTACACTATAAGATATATGTAACCTAATTTTCAGTGTTATACACAAGTGTACTACCATATTTGTTGTACACATGTACGCCGACCTTTAATGTACACATGTACACTAACGAATGCACACAAATTTACAGTATGTTCATTTTGTATCATAGTCATCTTCACTGTGTGTGTACGATAAGGAGGTGCACATGTGTACGACAAATATGATAGTGTATATATGTAAGACAATCAGATATTAATCAAGCTAAGACCTACCATGAAAACACACACACTAATGAGATATTAAACAATGTGAAGGATGATATTTGGGTTTAGTCAGATTTCAAAGATGCCTCTACCATGCGTGTACATGGGGAAAAAAGAAAAAAAATTCACACATACATTGTGTAACATTAACATGAGTTCATGAAGTCACAGAGGCATACTTATTTATATAGAAAACCTACAAAAAACAAATAATGTGTATACAATCATTTTGATGTATAATACAAAATTAGGTGTACACATGTACAATTTAAATGTAATGTACACACAACTTTTTTTTTACAGAAAATATGATATGACAAATGAACAAATCATTTATACATACATAACATTTTAAAAAAAAAAAAAAAAAGAAGAAAATCAAGTCAGATAGAAGATGGCGTATCTGAAAATAGATGCGTATATGAGAACAAATGTACACATGGTTTTATGTGTTATTCTTATCTAATAATTAAAATATTATTTACTATTTGATTTTAATTCATTTAGTTTACTTTGGAATTTTTTTAGATATATCATACGCATATATGTGTTTAATTGCATTAACAAAAATTATATAAAATAATTGATTAATTTGGGGATATCAAAGAAAAAATATTTGTTTTGAATGTTTGGGGTAGAAATAAAAGAAACAAAAATCAAGGACCATTTATGAAATTATAAAGATGGATTGGAATTATCAATCAAGAAGTTAAGGGTTCAATTCAAATAGACATATACACAATTTAAAATATACAAAACTATAAGGACTAAAGGTGCAAAAAACTTAAAAGTGGCCATTGATGTCTAAGGTTCTTGTGACAGCTAAAGGGAAAGTAAAGAAAGTAAAAATATAGAGTCAGAGTGACGAGAACATAGTTCTAGTACTCCAATGACAAGAGTTGCCGACGTTTCTACATAAATGTTGTTGTCGAATATATCATCACTACACCACCATCAACCATATATCTTAACATATCTCAAAATATAACTAAAAAACAAGAGACAATGATTAAAGATAATTTTTCTGGAAAATGAATTTGGAAGATTCAGATTTTCTACGGAAATTATAGAAAAGTAGAAAGGAGAGAGGAAGAAGAAGGTTATAGGGCCCACTTTATTTTAGTTAGTGTAATGGATACTAGCTGTCAATAATATTTCGTTAGTTTTGGAATGAAAATGAAATTTAGTTAGATAAAAGTGTGTGAGTAGCTGAAACTGCCCTATTGTGTTAATAAAACTTATAAACTGCCTCTGAGTGTAATTGTTTCGTACTGAAAATGTAGATAGATACGTCATATACTCGTGATAATCTTGTTTCTTCCGTCCATACCTTTTGGAGGGTACACACTATTTTCAACAGGAATTAATTTGGTTTAACGTCTGGTTTATAAGGTTTACAATTTGATTACAAAAAGTTAAATCATCTCTAAACTAAAGTAATTAAATCTATGAATTCTAGAGTTTTGAACTATAATTTTTAAAAGTTTTAGAGTTTTGAACTTTTAATCGGTGGGGATACATGTTTTGAACTTTAAACTCGAACATATATATAGAAAATGCGGCAATAGTTTAAGTGACATCCGATGATATATGATAGTTCTCGCAGATAAATAATTCTTTGATTTTATATACGATAGTAAATAATGAGTCTTTAATCATCTACTGATGAAAAATGATAGAATTTTGACTTGATTCCACTTAGTTTATGCTTCGCTTTGGAACGCTACCCAAATTTAGCTCAAAGATTGTGGTGCATCTCTTCTCAATGAATCCATCAGTATACAGCACAAACTATAGCTTATGACATGGACATTCTTCTCCTCGTCAAACTGGTTCTTGGTCCCGTGGAACTTCGTCTCCGTCGTGGCGTATCTCTTGTTTCATCATCTTCTCGTTTCATCTGGAATGATCTCTTTACCTTTTGCCAACGCGATCCCCAGTACTGTGTGCTCTTCTGTTTGCTACTATTTAGCTTCTCATACTCTTGTTGAAGCTCATTGTAATCGTCCTGAAGCTCTGCCATCTTACTCATCACATTCTCCAGCTCTCCCTTGAGTTTCCTTACTTCACTATCTCTTGATATTCGTTTATCCTCACGACCTTCAGGGTTCTCTTCATTGGTCTCTGCTTGCTTCTCTTGCATCATCATCCTCATCTTCACTTGTTCCGAGAATAGCACTTGAGTGTTGATCTTGTTTATAATGAAACCACTCGCTTATGTTAGCTCTTTAACTTCAATAACTACTTATGTAATAAAAAAGTGCACTATTATTATTACATACCTGGACGATAGTTCTCAAAGGCAACCGATCATTTTGTGCGGCGTGAAGGCACGCATCAAGAGATAGTTTCTCACAGTTCATTGTTTTGCATAGTCTTCTCCTATCATGTTCTGATAGTGAAGGATGTGTCTGAAATAAGGATAAAGCTGTTAAATGTTTTTTTTTTTTTAATTTGGAGATGAAAATCACAAAAGCTACCTTGAGAAACATATCAATTGCTCTATAGAGACCGTCATGGCATTTCCAATTGTTTTCAGGTAACATTTCTGCTAGAACTTGAAACTTGGTGATGGATAGACATGGATCTTTTGCAATCTCGGCTAAGTAATTATCCAATAGCTTTGTTATACTTGGCTTTCCTTGAACCTGTTGCTGTTGTTGTTGCTGCTCATGCATTACATAATACTCCAAAATCCTGTGCACCACGTCCACGTTGTATATTGTATACTCCTCATGTGAGCTGTGCATGAATCAACAAAGGTTAAGTACTTAAACTTTTTGTCCTTGTTTTTATATTATTTTGTCCAAGGAATTTCCTAGTTAGATCAAAACTCATTTTGTAACAAGTTACAAAATATTCTCACATTTATATGATTTTCACATTTTGACAAAAAAAAAAAACTTAAACAACAAAGTTTCTTAAGAGTAGATTAAACTCACCTGACTTCTTTCTGTTGATCTTCATTTTTGAAGTTAGGAATCAAGAGGTCACATACATTAGCATCTTCCAATGCCATACCAACCCGTTTCTCAAGATCAGACACTAAAGCTTGTGATGCAGAATACACAATTGCAGTTTTGAGCAACCTCAACAGAAACTGACATGGTACTACTGATCCAGGTTGCGTAGGAAGCACGCTTACTAAACTTTCAATGATTCTCTTATGTTCTTGACATCCTAAACTATTTTCCTCTGTTCTTTCTCGTTCAACACTGAACTGCAAATCATTGTTTCCTGAGCCGTAACCACGTAAACCTTCCAAATCATCATCTATTAGCGGCAACCAATTCTCTGCGTACTTCATGATGAGTCTACCTATAACCTCTGGTCTACCCTTTCTTGCGTTTACAGTTGTTACAACCCTCATGAAGTGATCAAGCTGAAGGTTGGCTATACCATTGTATAGACTTCTCTCATTGCTATCTACATCTTCTGGTATGTCATGATTATTATCATTGCTTGCTTTCCAAGCAAGCAAGTCGCAGCATCTCCTTACAATCTGGAGGTTTTCTGCCCATGGAGATAGGCTTGTACATGATCTCAGAACGGTCAGCGTGTCTCTCCATGAGGCAAGTATTACAAATGTTATGAAAGAGTCTGTTTTGGAGATTAGGTTCCCGTCTTGAAACTCTTCAGTCATGTACAGATACTCTGATGCACATCTTAGTGGAGCTACGTTGAGAGGGTTTAGGTCAAGCTGGAGACCGTAGCAGAATTTGAGAATGGTTTCAAATGTTTCTGCTCCACCTGGGAAGTTTTCTAGCTTTAGATGATATCCATTCCCAGATGATGATGGCTGTAGCTCAATGTTGCTTATGTAGCCAGATTTGGAGATTAAAGGAAACTGTTGAAGACAAAGAAAAAAAAAAGATAACAAGACTCATATGCATATGAAACAATTTTCTTAAAATCTATGCATTTTTTATATGTTTAAAATGTTTTAAACTGGTTAAAGTATATTTAAATCTATGTAAATGATTTTAATTTGTCCAATCAAACAATAACATTAGTGTATATCTACAAATTTGTCTATTTTTTTCATTTTTTGTATGTCTAAGTTTTATAATTCATCAAAATAATTTTATAATTAAACCTAAAAAATAAAATAATATAAATATAAAATAAATAAATAATACGTCAACATAATACGTGTAATCAATTTTATACAAAGTTATAGTAATTAAAGTACCTATTTCTTGAACATTGTGCATATATATATACATTTGAAAACTGTCAAGATAACACATGTTTCAAGTGTTGATGGAGAATTGGATATAGAATACCTTGTGTGCTTGGAAGGTAATATCATCGACTTGAATTGACAGATCATTAGGGATCTGAGATTTGACATACCTACAAAGAGATAGATATTAGCCTATTATAAACTCTTCATGTTCTAGTTTCTGCACAATGTTAAAGCTCAACATACCAGGAACGGTCTTTCTTCTCAAAGCTGTTGGCTAATGCAACAACTCTATGTGGAACTACAATGCTTTTATTACAGATTTGATCAGCAGCAGTCTCACCATCTTCAGAGCTCTTCATCTGGCTTGCAGATGCAGAATCCATTCCCCTTTGATCTGAAAACACCAGTGAGGTTATTACAAGACAGAGACGAAATATAAATGTATAGAGAGTGAGGACAAATAATGAGAGTAAATGTGAGAAGATAGTATGTGGCTCTTGAATTGTATACGTTGAGGGAAACAGTTGTCTTGTGCCTTTCGTTATAGAATATTATGGAATGCTTTTGATTTGAGGGACAGAATGTTTTTGTCATTAAATACTATTTGTCTTTGTCATTTAAATCTTCTGGCCTGAGTAATCTTGATCGTATATGTGTTATGACAGTTGTTTTCCCCCCGTCGAGAATAAATAGCCAGAGTATTTAAGGTATTAGGTATCGGAAGAATGACAAAGACGTTCAGACAAAAAGAGAACACTAGTTAGAGTAGTGAACGATACCAAATAAGGCCCTTAACATACTAGTGAAAGAACATTTATGAGCTCAGGATCAGTAAATAACTTATAACAGAAAGCTAATAGTATCTCCTACATTTTAACAACTGTCTCATGATGATTCTCTAATATGAAGTGTTTTTATAGCTCAACTTCATGCAAAGCCTAGAGTTTTAAGAAAGTCGAATAGTAATAACACTGTGCAACTAATACTATAATGATGTGGTTTCGATTAAGGATTATAGTAGCCCTGTGGATTGTGTTTGAACCGAACCAAAATCTTTGGTTTTAAATTCGGTTTGGTTTGGTAGAGTTTTGAGTTTGGTTATTGGTTCAGTTTGTTTTTTGTTTTTTTTTGTTTTAAATATCCAAAACTAATCGAAAAAATTCAAACGAATTTAACTGAAAAAACGAAAAATAAACAAATTTAATCGAAATATCCATTTTTTAAGAAAATTATACCGAAATTTATCAAAAACCAAAAATCAATGATTTTCCGAAATAAAAAAAAAAACAAAAATAACCGATAACCGACCTAACCAAACCAAAATTTAATACGGGGGTTTGGTTTTTAAAATTTCGGTTAACTGAAAACCGACAGTTCGGTACGTTCGGTACGGCTTTGGAAAACCGAAGTGGCAGACTAGATTATAGGCTTCAGTCCAAAATCTCCTGATTATTCAAGAAAAGTAATTATTCGGTAACAAAGTAATCTCTTTACACAGACATTTGGTAAAATTCATTAGATAAAACTGAATAACCTCTTTATTGTGAAAGAAAATTTACTTTTAGGCAAATTAAGTAACTAATGTAAACAAAGTGGGCTCTTTATGAAAAAAAATAAATAGATGAACCGTGTAACGTCCGTGGTTGGCGGTTACAATTTGGCGTCTAGAGAGAGCCGATCATATAAACGCGTCTGAAATAAATCAAAACCTCGAGGGGGGGCCTTGGAATCTCACAAATCAGAAAATCGCGAAACTCAGATCTGAGAAATGGCGGCGGTGACACCATTAGCAAAGTACAAGCTCGTCTTCCTCGGAGATCAATCCGTCGGCAAAACCAGCATCATCACTCGTTTCATGTACGACAAATTCGACACCACTTATCAGGTTTGTAAAATCAATTCCGCGAATCTTCTCAATCGGAATTGCGAATCTCTGTGATTAGCGATCGTTTTGGTGTTCTTGAGTGTATAGGAGATTCAGATCAGATTTATAGTTTTGCAAAAAAGGGATTTGATTAATAAGGCCTTGTTGATTGAGTTTTGGGATTGTTGCAGGCAACAATTGGGATTGATTTTCTGTCAAAGACAATGTACATGGAGGATAGGACTCTTCGTCTGCAGCTATGGTATATATTATCTTCCCTTTTTCAGGATTAAGTCATCGATGAGGTCCTCTCCCAATGTTTCAAACGCCAATTGATGCATGAATTTACCTTCATAGAGTTATCAAATGACGTTTTGCTTAATAAGGTTACATGTTTTTATTGAAAATCTCTAATAACGTTTTGAAAACGCCAAATGAATGCTTAAGTGGTCATTAGGTATATCTTTTGTTCTACTTCTATATCTCCATGGAATTTTTCAGCTTTGAATACTTGCTACCATGTATCTTTGTTGACTATAGAATTTTCCTTCTTTCATATATATATATATATATTATTGTGTTTGCATGTAGTTTCTGGTTTTTAATATGTATGTTTCAGTTAGCGTCTGACTTTATAATTTTCACAGGGATACTGCTGGACAGGAGAGGTTTCGGAGTCTGATTCCAAGTTATATCAGAGATTCTTCTGTTGCTGTCATTGTCTATGATGTTGCAAGTAAGCCCTTCTGTTTGTTATCTTTTCAGACTGACCCTGCTTCTGTACCGTCTACAGAGCCTTTATATACATCTCTTTTTTTTGAAGAATCATTGATTTTGCATGAATGTATGTGTGTAAAGTCTCCTGCTTTTTTTTGTCTGGTCAATGTACAGATAGGCAGTCATTCTTGAACACCACCAAGTGGATTGAGGATGTTCGTACTGAGAGAGGTAGCGATGTCATCATTGTTCTCGTTGGTAACAAAACAGATCTCGTTGACAAGAGGTAACACACACACTTGACCTTAATAACATCAGATCCAATGATACATTTTAAAGAAAAGCAACAAAAAAGGAGAAACATGAATGAATAAGTTATACATTGTAAGCTTGTGTCATTCAACTATCAACTCAAAAGTTCCATTTGACAGGCAAGTGTCGATAGAGGAAGGGGATAACAAAGCTCGCGATTTTGGAGTGATATTCATAGAGACGAGTGCAAAGGCAGGATTTAACATCAAGGTTAGAACCAACTATCTATCCTCATGACTGTTTAAAGATCTTGAGATTTATTTGAATAACTTCTTGTGTTCTCTTTTGGCCTTTTGGGAACTTGTAGCCACTATTCCGCAAGATTTCAGCAGCATTACCAGGAATGGACACACTTTCAACGAAACAAGGTGATATGGTTGATGTCAACCTAAAGTCATCGACCAATTCGTCTCAAGCGGAGCAACAAGGAGGCGGCTGTTCGTGTTAAGTGAATTTTAATATACGTTTAACAGCAACAGAGTAGAGGGATTTTTAAAAAGAAAGGATTCATAACTTGATGGGATAAATAAATTCTGGTATAAGGAAGATTTTTACTTGGGAAACTCTTACTATTCTTTGAGTTCAATATCTAGCTGTGTTATGCTTAAAAGCTTAAGAATATTTTGCTCTGTTCTTTGAGTTCATTATAAATAAGTCATGAACAGTGTATGAAAAGAGATTGATTATCTCATATTAATGTTTTGTTACTAAACTCACATGCCTCTTCCAAGTTAAGATATTAGACAAATGACAGGAGTAACAAATCTTTAGAGCTCTTTACTGTTGCCATCCGTATTGCTGGTTTCTACTACCACTCATTGGGTTCTGACCTCTTCCAGAGCCACTATGCTGACCACCTTGTGTGTAGTTAGGTGGTCCAACCCCGTACGCACCACCACTAGGCCCTCTAGGACCACCAGCATAAGGAGCTCCCCGTCCTTGTTGATGATATGATCCTCCGCTGCTGTAACCTCCTCGGCTCTGATTATAACCCCTGCTCTGGTTTCCACTAGGAGGGTACCGATTTGGACCAGGTGGACCACGCGGCTTCCCATAATAGTGGTGGCTTGGTCCAGCAGGTACTTGTTGTGGACCGTTGTTAGTAGGATGGGCAGGCCAATGTGAAGGAGCAGCATGAGATTGGCCACCGTGTTGTAATGGAGGCAAGCGAGAGTGCTGCTGATGTGGATGCTGCAGTTTCTGTCTTTTTGCTGCTTCCTCTCTTTGACGCTGCTCTTGTCTCTTTTTCTTTGTCTGGAACTCATGTGATGCCTCATATGTGGGTAGACTGTATATACATGAGACATTGTATCAGTCAGGAGAATAATGATGCATTAACACAGAGTCACGAGAAAATAGTAATACCTCTTTGGGTCACATGGCAGAGGATCAGTCCAAAAGTACTCGGCATCAAGAGCATCCTTTGCAGTTATTCTCTACACCAGGACAACACGAAAAATATAACTTGTAATAGGCAAAGTTTTTTTAAGTATGCAGTGGTTATAAGGAAAAAGATCTCCAATACCTGAGAGGGGTCAAGCACCAACATTTTGTCCAGTAGTTCAAGTGCATGGCGATCAAAGCCTTGGCACCTAAATTTAAGAAAAGCCAAATAAAAACCTTATCATCACAGTATTTGCGTAGAAGTGAAGTTATATATTGGTATTGGTTTTAGTTTACTTACTGTCCGAAGAACTCTCTCACGCGTCTCTTCAATGGCCTTGAGGGCTTAAAATTGTTAAACCAAGGCATCTTTGAAACTCCAGGCCAATTATTTTCATCAGGTGATCCACAAAGCTCAAAAATCTTGTTCAATTGCTCACTCTGAAACAATGTAGGAGATATAGCATATCATTTTGAGATTATCAAGAAAAGGTAAATTTGACTGCGTCTATACTGTTTATCAGAAGCTATCCAACCCCAAAACTCTTAGTACATATAATAGTAACGGACTCTAGAGCTAGCTGTTATTTCAATATTAAATTGCAATGACCAGATAGATCTTTATGTCATTATTGGCATCAACGCCCTGTACTAGCATCTGACATGAAAAGATGGATCTCTGACCTCATTTTTCCCAGGCAAGATTGGTTTTGCATACAAAAGTTCAGCAAATATGCAACCAACGGACCACATGTCAATCGCTGGGCCATATTTTGTGGCCCCGAGTAGTAACTCAGGGGGCCTGCCGCAATAAGTGCAAGTCAGCAAAGTAACAATAGCTGATAACAAACATCATAATGCAGAGATGTAATACTTTTGAAAGTGAAGATTTGTAGGCATACCTATACCACAAAGTGATGACACGATTGGTGAGGTTTCCAGAATGGTCCTGAGAATACATCCTTGCAAGCCCAAAATCTGCTAGCTTTAGCTGTCCCTCATTGTCAATAAGGAGATTAGAGCCTGCACCAAGATCTTGAGTCAACGAACAAGCCTAACATCAATAATGTAATTGAGATGTTCACCTTTTATATCACGGTGAAGAAT